AATTGAAATTATCAACATCATCATCATTATTAGCAACAATATCATCTTCATCATCTTCGTCATCATCACTGGCTGGCTATTCGAAATGAAAATTCAGTTACAATTGGATGGACACAATATTAATTCGAGTCGCTATGTTGGTGCACATGCATACATACATACATACATACAAACATTCATACATACAAACATACATACATACAAACATTCATACATACATACAAACATACATACATACATACAAACATACATACATACAAACATACATACATACAAACATACATTCATACATACATTCAAACATGCGTATATTGGCATTGACGGAAACATTCAAACATTCAGTAACTTTAATAATTCGTTCATTCATAAGAAAGATTTCTCTTTGGAATGACTGAACGAGCGGATAAATAAATGAATTAAACAAACTATAATAATATTAGTATTAATATAATTTATTATTAATATAATAATATCAATAATTTATAATAATAATTAATAATTATGGATTATTATATTAAGGATGACCATACGGCTATGGTCCATTTGATGACCGCTGGGTTAAACCTTGCAGTTGTTAATAAGACCACATCAGCAAGGTTTGATAAATAATTTTATTTGTAATTATAAATTATTTATTTTATAATTTTATGTTATTGATTCATTCATTCGTTCGTTCGTTCGTTCGTTCACTCTTTCTTTCGTTCGTTTGTACGTTCGTCAGTTCGTTATTTTGTTCACTTCTCATGAGTTTGTTCGTTTAATTATTCGTTCATCTATTCATTCATTCATTTATTAATTAATTCATTCGTTCATTCATTTGCTCATTTATTCGTTCATTCACCATTTATTCATTCATTCGTTCATTCACCATTCATTCGTTAATTCATTTATTCATTCATTCATTCATTCGTTCATGATGACGATGGTTGGAATAATTATTATTAAAGTGATATGTAATTAAGCAAAGAAAACCCATCTAACTTTACATAATTTTGAAAAGTAACCATAATAATAACAATAACAATAGAAATAATAACAATAATAATATTAATAATAATAATAAGAAAAAGAAGAAGGAGAAGAAGGAGAAGAAGAATAAAAATAATAACTATAATAATATTTTGAATAAAGAAGATAAAGGGAGATAATTTTGTCTCGATCACCAGATGGTCTGGCCGTCTCTTAATGACGCAACGAATTTGACTTGATGACGTAACGAGATTTCAGAGAGAGAGAGAGAGAGAGAGAGAGAGAGAGAGAGAGAGGAGAGAGAGAGGAAGAGAGAGAAGAAAAAAAAAAGAAAAAGGAAAAGAGAAAGAAAGATAGAGGGAAGAAGAGAGCGAGAAAGATGAAGAATATTAAAACAAGAGTGAAAAACTGATAGTAATGTTTAGAAAAGATATTTAAAAAAATTAGGTTGGAGAATGAATGAGAAAATAAAAAATGAATGAAGGATAAAATCAAGGAAGCTGAATTGAGAGAAAAAAAGAAAGTAAGAATGAGAAAAAGAAAGAGACAAATAAAGAGAGAGAGAGAAAGAGAGAGAGAGAGTTAAATAGAAGAAGAAAAAAAGAGAAAGAAAAATCATTGAAGATGAATACAAACATATCCACTATGCAATAATTTATATGTATGTACAAATTTGTACATTCATAAATCTCCATACAAAATTAACTTTTGTATGTATGTATGTATGCTTGCATATATAAATGTATGTATGTATATATGTATGTATGTGTG